CCCTGGCTGTCCCTTGGTGTCTTTCCTCATTATTTCCATTTACTGTTCGTATGTTCAGTGACTGACTGTGGAGCATCTTGTGTCGGAGACTTCCGTATGCTGAGGGTACAGAAGGGAACAAAACACACACTGCCCATGCCCTGGGAGGCTCACTATCTTGAGATGGGAAACAGACATGAAGAGACAATCCCAGCTGAAATATAAAGGCTCCAAATCTATACCCAGCAGACTCCCCGGCTGCCCCCAGCCCACAGTAATCTCTCAGATTCCTGACTGTGGGAGTCATTCAGATTCTGGAATTGCAAAACCCCAAAAAGTCAAGTCATTCAGGCTCCTGGTCCTCTGGTTCTTTGGCTTCTGAGGATGCTTCTAGTGACATGTGTTACTTTTGAGCATCTGCCCAGATTGTAGCTTTTGAGGGCAGGGTCCTTCTTCTTGAAAAGTTGCACAGTTGAAAACTAGGTTTGGTATACTGACTTACGTTTCCTATGAAACTTCCTGGAGAACTGCAGAAGTTTACATTTATGTAACTACCAGTGAGTTTTGTTCTTTATTTTTGAAACTTGGTTTACTGCAATTAATAGTTGCTGAAATTAATGTTTAGGAAACCAGAATGCTAGGAATTTGTTTCTAAAAAGTTTATTGGGGAGGGAGGTCCTTTGATCTCAAACCTCATGTTAAGAGCCAATGACTATTCAGTAGGAAAGTGGTTGTGGTTAGGTTTAGGGCCCTTAGGGTGGGCAGAAGAGGGAGGAGCACCCACATGATTCTTCCATGGGAGTCTCCAGCCCCACCCTGGAGCTCAGGGTCACTTTGGGTCTTTGTCTGGAAAAATTGGGTAGAAGGCATGGGCTTTAGGCCTTGGTCTTCACCAGCCAAGAGAGGAGATAAAAGTGGAATGTCAAAGCCCTGGGGTGGCTGAGGAAGCCAGTGAACTCCAGGCCTACCCTCTGCAGGAAACACAGCACCCCTCCCTAGAGTTGCCTAGACATCCTTAGCGAGCTCCTGCTGCTGCTTCAGCTTCAGCTTCAAGTTGCAGCCCGGTGAGGCCTTTTTGAAAGGTCCCTTGCTTCTCCAAAGGGTGGTTCAAGAGCTATTGTTATTTTCTTAGAGTGCCTGAGGAAAGAGCCTTCTGAGGAGCTAGAAGCTAGGCTGACCCTGAGCCAAGCCCAGAGAGGCCCCAGGGGCTGACACGCCTGGCTTCTTGCCCCCTGGTTCCTGAGGGCAGGTCGTGTCTTTTCTCCTTTAGATTGGGCCCTGCTTAAGGAGGTGGTTGTTACACAAAGCCCTGAGAGTGAAAGTTCCCACTGCCCTCCCCACTCTAGGAGTTGGAGGCCTCTTCTGAGTATGCTCATTGTAATGTTACTGCAATGTGTCAGGCAAATGTAAGGAAACTGACTTCATTGTTAAAATAAAAGTGTGGAGATCTATTATGTTGCACTGTATTCCTTTCTATAACAGCTTAGATAGAATTAGGATTAAAAATCAAGATTATATGCTTTTTACAAACTTACTGGGTGTGTGGAGTCAGTTTTGCCTTATAATACAAAATAGAGAAATGGCAGCAAACCTGCCATGAGGTGCACTCCATCAGGGGTCCTTATTTACACCTCTGAAGCACATCCAAGAATGGTGTGTGTGTCTGCTCTTGCTCACAGATTTTGCTTACTGAGCCCTCTGCTCTTTCCTTCCACGCAGCATTACGATGTCTTATCAGGCTTTCTCTAAATCATTAGGATTAGCACACAGCTGTGACCAGCTGGATCATTCTAATTGGAAATTAGGTGCTTCTCACATTGAAATGCTTCTGAAAATATCTCCAAAGATCTCGTTCAGCTATGGGAATTCTACTAAATACCTATAGTATTGCATGGCCTATATGCTTTTTAGATATGTGAACTCTGTAGATTCAGTGATTATTTCTAGAAAAATGCATCATTTAAGAAGCCCTGTTGTTTGTTCTAGTAACGTCTTAAAAAGACAATTCTGCATTGTTGACTGTAAGAAGAGTCTACACCATTTTCTGCACGTGTTACCTCTCCTCCAGAAAGCCGATAAAAATCCACAGTGGCGATGAGCTTACCAATTTATTTTTAGCTGTATTTTGTTTTACACTTATGGACAGTGCTTCTCAAGCTTTCTGTGACGACAGGGACTCTCTTGGTTCCCTGCCCCCCCAGTCCTTCATAGACCTTAATAAGACACAGTAAAAATAATTACTATAAAATGAAATAAAAATACAATGTTATAGAAGCCCCATTAAAATAATTCCATCTAAAGACATACAGTCACTGTGTAAATTTGCTGTAGACGTTTCTAAATAATAAAATGTCTCTCTCTCCATAGCTCATCACGGACCAGTAACAGTTCACAGACAGGCACCATCTGTGGCCACACTTTGAGAAACACAGTTTTAGAGTGTGCATGTATGTGTGTACTCACACGTTTAAATGTGTTGCTGTGATCACATAACATAGATCTTAGCACAACTTTGAGAATTAAATGCACTTAGCAAACTCTTTAGCAAAAGTGAAATTTTTAAGTATTTGAATGATCAAATTATAAACAAATACCAGTAGTATAATTGTGAATACAGTTACGTGTTTCACAACCGGTGGTCCGGTAGCGCTTCTAATGCATGAAGTAGAAAATGTTTTGCAATGTGAGAAGAAACCACCTCTACTCTGATTCACCTTCAAGTTTAAACAGGTACTTTAGATAGGAAATGTTCTGTGCAAAGTAAATACACAAATGAGACTTGTGGCACTAAACAGTAGGAAATACGTCTATCATGTGAAGTATTAGACAAACCAGTTGTTACTATCGTAACCTTTCTTGCCTTGGAGAACAGTTAATTGTACTGGACTGGTCATTGTGATTGACAGCCATTTTTTAAATGTTAACAGAATGAGCAGAAATGTTTCAAGTAAGTAACTCCATATTCTTTGTAAGCATTAACAGATCTCAAGCTGATTCTGATGCTGATAGGTCGCAGCTTGCTCATTTGTCTCTTCTGAGACACGTAACTGTATTCACTGAGGCATGAGGTCAGACGATTACCCCGAGTGGCAGGCTCCGTGACCACCTGTATACTGGCCTTGAGGGGCAGCATGGCCTGCTTTCTAACAAAATATGAGAAGTTCTGGGAAGTTTATATTCCATTTAGCCTTATTTCTTTAGGATGAGACTTGAAATTCAAAACGGTGTTCAGGTGTAGGAGGAGATATTTAGCCTCTTGAAGGCCAGAGTATTCACGTGGGACTCCCCATTGGGCCTGGCCGAGTGCCTACCCCAATGTAGATGTGGATAAGCTAATAAAGGATTGAATGAGGTGTGGTCAGTCAGCTGAAGCAGTTTATTAAAAGGTAAGTGGCATTTAGAAGAAAAATTGGATAACTACAAAGCAGTTGCCTGTGTATGAAGACATGAGTCACACTGAGGACAGGATTAACAGGAGTCCCTGAGAGTACTGTAGCAGGAGCAGGGGGTGGTGAGGGAGCAAGCATGGGCCTGGCTTCATTCAAACCACGATCCTGGTCTGAACACTAAAAGGCAGATTTCTTGTTAAATGGTTAGAAAATGAGGTATTTGGCCTGGCAACAGTGGCTCTCGCCTGTAATCCCAGCACTTTGGGAGGCCGAGGCGAGCAGATCATGAGGTTGAGATCTAGACCATGGTGGCCAACATGGTGAAACCCCATCTCTACTAAAATACAAAAATTAGGCTTGGTGGCGTGCGCCTGTAGTCCCAGCTATTCAGGAGGCTGAGGCAGGAGAATCACTTGAACCTGGGAGGCGGAAGTTGCAGTGAGCCGAGATCACACCACTGCACTCCAGCCTGGCGACAGAGTGAGATTCTGTCTCAAAAAAAAAGAAGAAAGTGAGATCTTTTGAGGCAAAGGCTAATGGACTTGAGATTGTTCTGTTTAGACAGTAGAAGTTCTGAAAGGAGGTGATGATGATGTCACTTGATCATGGAGAGTTGGAAGGACCCCTTCCCAGAGGGTGACAACCAAATGACCAAACATATTCACTAAGGCCAGAGCAAGAGAGGACACAACCTGGCCTGTGAGCAGCAGGCAGGATGGGGCAGGAGTTCTTCGCTGCGGTTTTAAAATTCAGCCTGATACCAGATTCTCAGGGTCTGAGATAGGAGGTCGTGGTTTCCTCAAAATATGAATGTATCTCTGGAATCACAGTAGGTATTTTGTTAGGAAATGTCTCAAGTACCTAAACAGCAATGCTTATAATCAGAGCTGATTACTTTAAAATTAATCCAGTTGCCTTCAGACATAACTGTGCATGAAGAAATTGAGTGAAGGAAAAACTTAGGCTGGGAAATACACATTCCTCTACTTGATTCTAGAATGAAAAGTGGTGGCAGCTCAGTCACTGTGGTATTTAACATAGGCGCAGCGCTTTACCGCATGTCACCAACCAGGCAGAAAGACTCTATGCTTATTGAGGAAGGAAAAAGCATTTTGAAAGCACACACAGTTCTACCAAAATTTTACATGTTCCCTTTCTTTAACCTGGTTCTTTTAATCCTTTAGGAAGTGCTCCAGCTGTAATCTATGATACCTATGTCTGTTTAGGTCAGCATTGTAATTGTTTTCTTGGGCTTTAAAAATAAATCTACTTGGGGGAGGGAAATTGAACCTGCATGATAATCTTAGCCATGCGAACACAAGCACATGAGCTGAGAAAGTCAAAATCATGGTTTCCATGGTAACTCTTAACTTGTCTGTGTCGTACACATTTCTCAAGAAATACACTCATCAGACTACCTAGTGATAAAAATTGCTCCAGAGGCATACAAAGGTGGATTTTCTAATTCTCTCTTACTGTCTTCCTTCCACCCCTAATTAATCCACATGTATTTGTAAATAACCCTGGGCAAGAAACTGAGGTCCAAGTCCTGCCCTCTAAATCAGCTTCTTTTTTATGGTAGAAATCAGCTTTCATGCGATTAATACCGTTTCCTCCCTCTCCCTTCTGCAGATATATGTTGGGTAAAGGAGGAAAACGGAAGTTTGATGAGCATGAAGATGGGCTGGAAGGCAAAATCATGTCTCCCTGTGACGGTCCATCCAAGGTGTCTTACACCTTACAGCGCCAGACTATCTTCAACATTTCCCTTATGAAACTCTATAACCACAGGCCCCTGACAGAGCCAAGCTTGCAAAAGACCGTTTTAATTAACAACATGTTGAGGCGGATCCAGGAGGAACTCAAACAGGAAGGCAGCCTGAGGCCCGTGTTCACCCCCTCCTCCCAGCCCACCACAGAGCCCAGCGACAGCTACCGCGAGGCCCCACCCGCCTTCAGCCACCTGGCGTCCCCGTCTGCCCACCCCTGCGACCTCGGAAGCACTACGCCCCTGGAGGCTTGCCTCACCCCGGCCTCGCTGCTCGAGGACGACGACACGTTTTGCACCCCCCAGGCCATGCAGCCCGCGGCTCCCACCAAACTCTCACCTCCAGCCCTCCCGCCAGAAAAGGACAGTTTCTCCTCCGCCTTGGACGAGATCGAGGAGCTCTGTCCCACATCTACCTCCACAGAGGCGGCCGCGGCTGCGACTGACAGCGCGAAGGGGACCTCCAGTGAGGCCGGCGCCCAGAAACCCGAGGGCCCTCAAGAGAGCCGCGCAGACGACTCGAAACTGATGGACTCTCTGCCTGGGAATTTTGAAATAATGACGTCCACAGGTTTCCTGACAGACTTGACCCTGGATGACATCCTGTTCGCTGACATTGATACGTCCATGTATGATTTTGACCCCTGCACTTCCGCATCAGGGACAGCCTCAAAAATGGCCCCTGTGTCTGCCGACGACCTCCTCAAAACTCTGGCTCCTTACAGCAGTCAGCCTGTCGCCCCAAGTCAGCCTTTCAAAATGGACCTCACAGAGCTGGACCACATCATGGAGGTGCTTGTCGGGTCCTAAGACCCAGGGTCCCGGCAACTGTGCCCACCCAGACCCCGGAGCGTTCCCGCAACCCTGACAGTTCTCCACACTGTGCATGCACCCTTGCTTGCCTTTTTCAGAGAAAAAGAAAATTTTACAACAGGATCACACTAGTTTTTGCTTTGAGCAGAGTTGGAGTGCCTTCATCCAAGTATGACCACTTTTAATACACTTTTTGGAGTGGTTCCTCAGAGACCTACTACCCTGGTATAGGAAAGAATCCATTCGAAGACAATGTTGCAATGTTGAATGACAAAAATAAACAGTTCAAGTGAAGCACAAGGATTAAGTTGGAAAAGCTGTAAATTGCATGTGCATATTTGTCTATTTTTTCTATAAGTTTTATTGCAAGAGGTAAAGAAGAAAAAAAAAATATATATATATATATATATATATATCTTATTTAGATAATCTCAGTACCTTTCCTGGCATTTTCGCCCTGTATAGGTTGACTTGGCAATTGGGCCTTTTTAGAGGCATTAACTACTCCTCATAAGTGTTGCATTTACATGGCTGTTTAGAAAACTGCTGCCCAAATTTATTTTATATTTTTGTACAGATTCTGCAGTTTATGATATTGTTTTTCTAAAAACAAATGCTGTTTATACATATGAGATAGCTATTTTGATAGGATTTGCTCACATAGTTCCTGCAAACTTCAGATGTACAAGTTGCACTTGTACTTTTATAGAGTTGTAATGTTTTATATGTGTATGGTGCAAGAGAAAATTGGATCAAATCAGTCTGCAGTTGATGTCCCCAAATGCAAACACTCACAGGCACACACATGCACACACACGGACACACAAAAACACACACACAGCGCTTTAAGAAAGGGCCAAGTAATATCACACCCAAATTTCACAAGCACTGACCCCCTGGCACCAACACCCGCCAGTACTGTGACTTCCAAAGCCAGAGCCACATACGCCCATCAAACTCGCATTCAGCAGTTGGGGGAGATGGCTGTGGAGCTGGGGGTTTAAGTGATGGTTCTCTTTTGCTCCCTCTTTTGAGGGTAAAGCTACCATCTTTCTTAAGAGTGTATTTATGCCAAGTTTGTGCTTTTAATTGTTTTTATTTTTAATGAAAACCCAGATCTTTCCTTTTTGGCATAATTTTTATGAGGACCTGAAATTTTACACCTGAACAAAATTTTATGAAAAGCAACCAACTTCTTCATGGAACTCAGCCCTGTTGCAATGCTTAGGGCCCTTAAGAAGAAAATCTCCCCAGAAGGCATCCATCATGTTGCGAAATTGTCTTCTGCTCCTTCCTTTCCCTAGAGCTTTCCTTCTGTTGCTAAGAGCTGAAAATGGCATCTTCGTGATCACCACAGTGAGCTTGGCTCCCCTCGGCCGGCCCAGGATGCACTCTTACAACATGCGTGACTCTTGAACCTGGAGTTCATCACATTACGTCACAGCTTTCCATCCAGTTGCTTTCCTAAATCAGCTACTTTACTCTTGACAAGGCTGTTCCACCCCAAAACTCAGACAGGACTTTCTATGCATGTTTCCCCTCCTCCCCCCCATTCCTCCATTCCACCCCTTCCTCCCAGGACACACTTGAGAAGTAGCTTTTTATTCCTAGTGGTGTACATTTAATTTTAAAAAGTTTGCAATGTACCATGCTTGTTGCCGAAACTGTTTATGGCCTTCTTGTTTCAGTTTTTTCTTCCAGTGGTACTTTAGCTGTTGAGTGCAGGTTACAACCTATATTGTTATGCAGATGGCTTCTTTAGGAATAACTTTTATATTTATTTAAAAATTTTTAAATTATGGGATTTTGTTTTGTTGTCGTTGTTGTTGTCTTTGTTGTTGGTCATTTGTCAATATTCAGTCACCAATTCTGCTCACTTCTTGCCATGGATAAAATTGGGTCTTTCTGGCTAATGAAAAAAGACAACTTTATAAAATGGCACTTTAAGCAAGCCATAGTTTTATTTTTGTAATGCACATGGCAGAGCAAAGACGTTTGTGATGAAGGAACTGCTCATGTAAGCAAAAGATTTGAGTATGATATGATAAAAGTCTTTCTACATTCTAATTTAATTTTCTCCCCACTCGAATGTGTTTTAAAGGCTAATTATCAACTCAGTAGAGCAGTGAGAAACTGATCAAATTGCACTTGTTCTCATACAAGCAACCTCCACGCAGATACCTCTTACTGCTGCAGGCGTGTCATTTCCTTTAATAGGACCAGGGACCATGTAACTAAGGTGAGAGTTGTATAGTAGATGCTTCCAGTGTCACTGTGCCTGTCAATTTTAAGAGCTTCCCTTTCTCACAGAGAACAAGTCTGCCCAGACTCCATGCTTCCTATAACTGGAGGAGCTGGCAAACGTGCCGCATGCTGCACACCGCAGCCTACATACGCATATACAATAGTATTGATGATTCTGAACAATAACAGGGTAAAACAGTTGATTTGCCATTGTTAAAAACTGATTTACAGTAACTTAGAACAACTGTACTTTTGTTGGATTAGCAAATCATGTGTTTAAACAAATCCCATATGTTGGGCAACAGTTCAAATAAGCATGGAGAAGTGTTGCCCAAACTTGGTTCTCTGACTCTCATGTATTTGTAAGGCTGGGCTTCAAAATCAAAACAAAAACCCCAACAACAGCAGGTAAATGCTTTTTTAACTCTGACACCCTTGCCATAAATCCTTGATACTCAAAGTCTAACAAGGAAGATATGGAAAATTAGCAGCCCATTTTCAGAAAGATCAAAATGACCTACGGTTCAAATTGCCTTTGTATCCTATTCTTACAAGTTGATGTCCCAACAGGGAACAGTAGGAGCTGGAGTGGGATCTCCAAGTCCCAGTTTGAGTGCAGGATGTGCTTCCAGATGCCACCTGGCAGCAGTGCCTTCCCCTTTATGAAAGACATCACACGGCATCCAGGGCCAGGCAGGCAGCTTGAGGTGCCTTCACAAGAAAGCCAAATTGGGAGCTGGGTCTGGGAGAGGACAGTTATTGACAGTGATGTGCAATGAAGTGACAAGATGAGAGCAGAATCGTAAGAGCTTTGAATTTGAAGAAGTGAGGTTTTTTTCCCCATAAGTTATTTATTCCTATTTTCTGTGTAAATATATTTATTTTACTGTGGAGCGCTAACATCTGGATCGTAACATGTGCAGAATGTATGGTAGGAATGTATTCTCTTGTAGGAATGTAAATCTGTATTAAAAGGGGGTCCAAGCCAGGCCCCCTGGGTCTTCTCATTGTATGCACAGTCCGCATTCATTTTTACTCTTCTCTAATATGGGTCTATTTGAAATATGCAAAAGGTATGGATGAGGAATGTTTTAATACCTCCAAATTTTTAAGCAAATCAAGCATCAAAGGGTTGATATTTTTTAAAGTTTTTTTAGTAGCACTTTCTCTGGATGACAGAAGAGGTGACCACATGGGCACCCTCGTTCATGCCAAAGGGTGAGCAGTGGCCAGTGCCTCCTCTGCACCTCTCGAGTGTCTTTACCAATTGAGCTTTTTATCGCTGTAGCCCCTTGGAGTGCCCCAGCTGCCCTGAGGTCAATTAAGGAAAATTTCTTAATGAAATAAGCTCCAAAGAGCCAAAGTATCAACTTACGGATCATTTTTAAAGCTTAAATTTATTAACCACCTTTGCGGTAAACAATGAATTATGAATATCACAGGGCAGCCTTCTTAAATGACAGATGTAAAAAAATAATAATAAGAGACTCTACTTTGTTCAGCAGTTGCTACTCTATACGAATTGTCTTAATTTGAAAACCTTGCTGTTACAAATTGGACCTTTATACGTTTTCTGAAAACAATGACAAGAGCATCTTTAACCTTTTCTGGCTGTAAGTGGTTACCTTCCTGTCACGGCCCCACACCTGGAGGCATGGAGTTGTGTGCGTCCTGCTTATGTACAATTGTTTTCACTGTTTCAAGAATAAGTCTGAATGGTTCTTGAAAATTAGGATCAAATGCTATTGCAGACAAAGCCACTAAAAAGTTGGACTTCTTTTAGGGATAACAAATTTGAAGAGAAATGCAGGCCATATGTGTGCATGACCGAGATTGTGAAAAAAAGATGTACATAGTGACATGTTTGGTGCATGGTTTTTGAGGAGGGCTTTTGTCAAAAAGGAGGTATAACCTTTCCCCCACAGACCTGAGAGCTGTGCCTTTTCTATGCAATATTACAGACGTTACATCAGAACCCAGATGGCTGTATTCACATGTAGGTTTGGGCTGTAATCTAAACAATTGGACAGATTAAATGTACATGGAAATGAGCAGTCTTACTTTTGTAGTTTTATATTATACAATAAACAGTTAAAAGATGAGAGAGGCATGCTTGCAGTTTTCTTTTGATGGGAGTTCAACCAGCTTATCTGTGACGGTTTGCCCACATTAAGCAAAGTCCAGCAAGAGCAGCAGGGGGCCCCTGCAGGAGTGGGCGCTGGTGGCCTTCCTGGACCCTGCTGGTCTCAAGAACCATCCTTCTCTCCTGGTTCTCCCCCTGCCTCTTAGACCCTTCTGGACCTCCTTTTTCTCACATCTGTACCCCAGCTCCCTTTAAAACATGGTTTTTTCCAGGGTTTGGCCCATGACCAGCTCTTCACTGAGCCTCCACTCCTGCTGCCACTTGCTTTCCCAAGGTCCGATCAACCACTCTGAACTCTGAAAACTGGTCTCCAGCCCCTGCCTCTCTCCTGAGCTCCAGACTTTCAGCGTCTACCAAGATTCGCTCCCTCATACTCAGTGCACCTAAATAACTCTTGTTTCCCCTGGGGGCTGATTCTTCTGTGGGCTGGTTGTCTTCATCACTCTGCTCCACACTTGGCTCAGTTGCCCACACTTGTGGCCTGTTCCGCAGACCCAGCCACATTGTTCCCTCTGCCACCTCCTCCATCCTCACCACAGCTTCCCCAGCTGGGGCCCTCCTCCCTCCTTGCCTCTGACTGCCCTGCCTGCTTCCGGACCAGTCTTTCTGCCATGATTGTCTTTCTACCATCCCTGATGCTGGAGTTGATGTTCTAAAGTGCCAGTGGGTCACATGGTTGTTGGACATCCTCCAGATGTACCCCCTGATTATGCCATCTGGACTCTGCCCCTGCTGTCTTCCAGGGGGGATTGGGGGAGATCCTGTGCAACCTCCTGGGCCTCTGGGCCATCTTGGATGGAGGCATGAGATCTGGCCTCCCCTGGCCTGGGCAGTTCTTTATTTTGGTCTGGCCGGGCCACCACACCACTGGTGAGGGAAAAAGGCTGGATGTGTGAGACCTGGGAAGTGAAGGTTCCGCCCAACCAGCAGTGGACTGTGGCCTGGGGTGTGAAGTGCTGGGGTTGGGGCAGTGGTGTTAGGGGTTGAATTGTTTCCCCCCAAAAAGATTTCAGTATCTCAGAATGTGACTTTAATTGGGAAATAGGGTCTTTATAGAGGTAATTAAGTTAAATCGAGGTTATTAGTGTGGGCCCTAATTCAATGGCTACTGTGGCCATATGGTGAAATCCCGTCTCTACTAAAAACACAAAAAAATTATCTGGGCATGGTGGCACATGCCTATTATCCCTGCTACTCAGGAGGCCAAGGCAGGAGAATCACTTGAACCCAGGATACAGAGGTTGCAGTTAGCCAAGATAGTGCCACTGCACTCCAGCCTGGTGAAAGAGACTCCATCTCCAAAAAAAAAGATTTGATCACAGACACACAGCAAGAAGGCCATGTGACAATGAAGGCAGAGATTGGGGCAGTGGATCTACATGCCAAGGATACCGGCAAACCACCAGAAGCCAGGAGGGAGGCGTGGGACAGACGCTTCCTTACAGCCCTCAAAGCAGCCAAGCCTGCTGACGCCTCGATCCGGACGTCTAGCTCTAGAAACATATTTCTGTTGTCCCAGCCACCCAGTTTGGGATACTTTGTTTCAGCAGCCCTAGCATACTGATGCAGGGGGAGAAGAACAGGGTGAGCCCTTTCTAGACACCCCCGGAGATAAGCACCAGGCAACTAGGAAGGCGGGTCGGGTCCGTGGCTCAGTAGAGTGGTTTCTATCTGGAATTAGGAGCATCTGCTATTAATTAATGATAAAACTTTGGCAAATCATTCAATCTCTGTATTTATGAGGATGAGATAAAGCCATGGCTCCTAGGGCTCTTTGAAAATGTTAACAGTATAATGAAAATGCAAATTATGAATGTCTGTCCTCATGCCTAGAGCTGTGCCCAGCATATGGTAGGCATTGTTGAATGAAAAGAAGGAAAAGCAATCTTATAGTTCACCTTTCTTTACAGAATGAGAGAAGCCCAGCACTCAACATCTTTCTTCTCGGGGTCCTAGGTTCACCCCACCCTTGCCCTCGGGATGTTCCCCTTTGCAGCAGGCATGTATGTCCTGCTTCCTTCTTTTGCACCTGAGTCCCAGAGAGGGGAAGGGCAGCCTGCCTCCACATGTCCTTGCTTGTACCTTCCCTTTCTGCTTGTGAAAATTCTACCCGTCATTCCAAGGACAAACTCAAATGCCCTTGAAGCCATCTCTGCAAGTCCGAAGTCAAAAACAGCCTCTTCCTCTGCTGGGCTCGTGCAGGGCTCGTGCAGGGCTCCGTGCCTCTGCAGCTGCACTTAGCAAATCTGCCGTGTCTTTGGGTTAGCTGTGCAGTTCGTTGCCTCTGTAGCCTCTGGTATCCTTATGAGCAGCAACCTTGTGTTGTTTATCTTTGACAGAGGTTGGCAAACTGCAGCGTACAGGTCAAATCCTGTCCACTGCCTGCTTTTGTAAGAAAAGTGTTGCTGGAACCTGGCCATGCTCGTGTGTTGCCTTGTCTGCTGTCTTACTGTGATGGTAGAGTTGAGTAGTTGCAAAAAAGACCACATGGCCCTCAAAATCTGTTTGCTGTTTGGCCCTTTACAGAAAAGGTTTGCCAAATCTGATCTTTGCAACCCTCCTAACACTTAGCACAGCATCTGAACATAGATGGGATAGGCTCAGGGCTACATAGACTGGGGACACACACCCCTGGAAAGATGGATATAGTACAGGCGTCAGGGGAGTCCTAAGGGCAAGAGTGCTGGAGGTGGGGTTTCCAGGGCCAGACAGGGCACAGTAGTCTGGAAAGTCACACAAGCGTGGACATATTCAGAGAGCTTAAGATGTGGAAGGAGCCATAGAGCTGGATCCTCCCATTAAAAGGGCCTTTTTGACAGATGTGCAAACTGAGACTCAAAGAGGGAAAGGGATTATTGTCTAAGGCAAAACACAGTTTATAGTATCAGAGTTCAGTTTGGCTCTGCAAGCAGATCTCCCAAGCTTGAATCCTGGTACCTACAATCTTGGGCAAGTTCCTGAGCCTCTCTGTGCCTCAGCTTTCTCATCTGTAAAATAGGGGAAATAATTGAGCTTATCTCATGGGATGGTGAGGATTAAATGAGTCAAGCATTTCTAGGGCACTGACTGGAAAGAAAGTCCACACATGTTAGTACAGCTCACATGGCAGCAGACAAGGCTAAATCTAGCTCTCCACTCTCAGTGTGGTGTTTTAGGTTAAGCCTTAAAGCACAACCGGGGTATCTTAATGCTGGGGGCATGTTTGCTGGGTGGAACCACGATTTCCTAATACCATGCATGTCACAGTGGCCAGCCACTTACAGAGAACACTGTGCTCTGTGCTTGTGTGGCAGTGTGGGTACCAGAGTCCCTGTTGCCTCTTCCATCTTTTGTTTCAATGTCCTTTTCTTTCCCTTGGAAAGGAATCTCTGAGTGCATCAGGATTAATAGTTTCAGGGTTACCACCTGAGCACTCTCGCATGTGCCAGACTCTGCTATATACTGGTGTGCGTGATCTCATGAACTCCTCTCCTCAGTTCTTTGAGTTTTATCTTACTACCCCCACTTTACAGAGGTGGCAGCTGGCTCAGAGAGGTTAAGCCACTTCCCAGAGGTCACACAGCTGGCAAGTGGTACAGCTGGGATTGGTTCTCTCTGACTCTTAGAACCCCTTCAAGCATATGCCTTGTCTTCAGCCTTGAAGCTGAGCAAGGTGTTGGAATTCAATCTTTGCCTCTATAACTTGCCTTGGACCTCTCTTCATCATGGGCTGTGGATTTCTCCAGCACATGCACAGCATTGCCCTGAGGAGCAAGAAGAGGAAGATCTCCTGCTGGGGCCAAGTAGACCAGGAGTTAGGATAGCTCTCCGAGACTGAATGCCCTGTAGGTTCTCTTGTTCTGGTTCCGTGTAACCTTGGGCCAGTCAATTCCCCTCCCGGGGACTCAGGAGCAAAAGTAAGAAGCAGGACATATATGCCTGCTGCATGCAAGCTGTGGACCGTGCTTTTCCCTGGCAGCACATTAGAACCATGAAGGTCTCCGCCAACATCCCTGGGCATGCCATCCAGGCCTCGAGGATTTTACAAAAGCTCTGGGAGGCGAGGGCTGCTCTAAGGTGCCAGCCTTCAAGGCTTCTGGAGAGTGCGGCCATGTGCATGATCCTGGAGACACACAGCAGTGTTGTCCTTGGAACTGGAACTGGGAACTCCCACCACAGCAGGCTGGCTGCCGCAGCCCCACAGCCCACCAGGCGGCCTCCCTCCTCCCTCCCTCCCTCCCTCCCCTCCTGGGCTGGGCGGCCAAGCTGCCAGCTGCTAGCAAGGCCTATTGTTCAGCAGTGACAAGAAATGGCTTTGGAGCACAGCTTGGTCCTGGAGAGAAGCTGGAGGCAGGAGGAGGAGGGGGCAAGCTGGGGAAACGACACCAGCTTCCCTGGGGCACTGCCCTGTGTGCTGGGAGGAGTCAGGGACAAACACACCCCTTGTGCCGGGTCTGTCCCCTCCTTCCTCCTTCCTTAGGGCCTCACAGACTTCTTTTTCATTTGTCTTCTCTGGACGTGATGATGGGTGGAAGTGTGTGGCATTGTTTTTCTGCGTCAGTGTAGGGAGTCAGGCCACCTCTAGAAAAGGATTTATGGTCACTTACTTCCCAGCTGATGGCCTGCAAATAGTGCCAGGTGGCCCAGTGCATTTGAAAGAGGCTGCTCCCATCAGCCCAGCTCAGGCTCTGAGTGGAGTGCACTCCCTGTGCCTGGAGAGGCTCGCGTGGCGCTGAGGGTCCTGACGTTTGTGGGTAGCTTCGTGCATCTGAACGCCTCACACACATTTGCTTTGATTGTCATGACAGTTCTGGAGGAGGTGGCAGGGGAGGGAGGCTCTGCAGACATGGGGACTCTGAGGAGCAGAGGACACAGGAGTGGCACACACAGAAGAGCAGGTCCCAGACCCAGGCCCCTCCCTTTATCACCCTCAGGCAGCTGCTTTCAGGCCTAGAAAAAAACAGCTAGAAATTTAATTAC